CCCCAAAACCCCAAAACCCCAAAACCCCGCTATAATTAATTTCATCGACTAAGGAAGCTGAGAGCAATAATATACTTCATTTTATATTATACTTAGTAAATATGTTTATCGCTCACTTTTAATACAAACAGATTCAAAATTTCAATCGTATCTTAATATATTGCTTAACATGAAATTAAAGGTAGTAATATAAAATTGAAAAAGAATTTTCTTCCACAATGACGTCAGAAGCAAAGTAATCCTAGAAGGAACCTCTCTTGAAACATGAGCCAATCACAGTTTCCAGCATCTATAAGCTCTACCCAGAAGAGCTTGTGTAAGTCATCAAAAGATATTTTAGCTCAATGTGAATAGAAAGTTATTTGAAGAAAGTAATCTAAAATCATCAGGATCAAGTTACTAACAAGGTTCTAAGAGTCTGAATCTTTTAGTAGAGCACGGTTATGGCCCAGGTCTACTCAAAAAACTTGCAACAGAGGCTGTCGTAAGTGGATTAGCTTCCTTATTCTTTTCTTTTTAGACTGGTATTATTGGAGACAAAAATGATATCAAGCGCAGAAAATTATAGTAATATAAATTATTATCTAATATGATGCTAATCTTTCATTTATAGCTTTGGCAAAAATACAAAACCACTCGCTTAGGTGCCTACATTGAAGGAAAGCATCAAAGAAGCATTAGACAATAGAATTCTTTTGAGTTTAGGTATCGCTGCCTTCCTAACAATTATAACTGGTATGGTCTCTTAAGGACCAAAATGGGGTTGGATTGAAGGTGTATCAATTTACTTCGCCATCTTAGTTATTGTCACTTTGACATCACTAAACGATTGGGTTAAAGACAAGCAATTCGTGAGACTTCAAAGTTTAGTTAAGGATGAAGATATTGCCGTAATCAGAGGCAAACATGGAGCCACTCAATCAGTAAATATATACAAATTGGTGGTTGGAGATATCATTCTTCTCGAGACAGGATCAAGAGTTCCAGCAGATTGCTTGCTTCTTGAAGGGCAAGATCTATCCGTTGATGAAACTAATTACAATGAAGATAGCAAGAAAGCCACCAAAAAAACTGCTGCATCAAGTGAAAATCCAGATGCTGATCCATTCCTACTTTCAAATAGTCTTATTGCCACTGGTACTGGTAAAGCTGTCGTTCTAGTCGTCGGAGAGAAGAGCAGAAGAGGAATGGACGAAGAGAAACTCGACACTCAAAGCAAAACTCCCCTTCAAGAGAAGCTTGAAAATTTAGGAGGTCACTTCACCAGAATTGGTCTCTACGGATCTGTCGCTATTTTCTTGGCTCTCCTTGCGAACTTCATCATTAGAGTATCTTCATTTGAAGAGTACAGAGAGACTGGTTTGATTCTCAAGAGCATCAGTGATATGCTAACTTATGCTATTGTTATCGTTATTGTTGCTGTTCCAGAGGGTCTTCCACTTGCTATCACACTTTCTCTAGCTTACTCAGTTATGAGAATGAAGATCGACGGTGTCTTGGTCAGAAATTTAGATTCACCAGAGGAAATGGGTAAAGTCGAAGAAATCGTTACTGGTAAGACTGGAACTATTACCCAAAGTAACATGAAAGTAGACTAATTCTATTCTCAATCACTTCTTATTAAGAACACAAGAAAAAATACCCTCTTCAACTGCGAGCTCTAGGATCACTTGATCTAATTGATTCAAGAGTCAATTCTATACAATTGCGATGCCAGAATTGAGATGGACGATAAGGCTTTCTATGTTCCTGTAGGAAATGGAACAGAAACTGGATTCATCAGATTCTTACAAGATGCTGAAATTGAAGTTCACGATATGATTAAGAGAAAGCTCGGCAGAATAGAGGCTGTTGTTCCCTTCTCAACATTAAGAAAAAGATCACTCACCGCTGTTAGACATCCAGATCATGATGATTTTGTCAGAGTTTATATTAAGGGCGCACCAGAAATTATTGTATCTAAATGCTCAAGAACTTTCCACATTGATGGTAAAGTTATTCCCCTCGATGATAACCAAGCTAACTACATTTTAAGTGATATTCTTATCCAAAAGTTCACTACCTGTGGTTATAGAACTCTTGCCTTCGCTTATAAGGATATTCCTCTTGAAGAATTTGAAAATCTTAAAGCCATGAACAATTAATTCGTCACCGAGGATGATAGAACTGCTCTTGAAAAAGATCTTACTTTTGTAGGTATTTTTGCTCTTCATGATCCACTCAGAGATAAAGTCAGACAATCAGTTCAATTTGCTACAATGGGACAAATCACAACTAGACTTGTAAGTGGAGATCACATCGAAACCGCTAAGGCTGTTGCAGTTCAAGCTGGAATTATGGACAGAGCTGAAAACTATACCTGTCTAACTGGAGAAGAATTCAGAAACCTAGTTGGAGGTATTAGACAAGAGTTATAAGAAGATGGATCAATAAAGTACGTCCTTGAAAGAGAACCTGAGTTCAGAAACTTGGTGAATGGAAAAGATACTAAGAAACCATTGAGAGTTATTGCCAGAGCCACTTAATATGACAAGTACTTACTTGTTGTTGGATTATCCAATCTTGGAAGATCTGTTGCAACTATTGGGGAGGGACTTAATGATGTTGATGCTCTCAAAGCTGCCAGTGTTGGTTTCGCAATGGGAAGTGGAGTCTCAATTGCTAAGGACAGCTCAGATATGATCCTAATCAAGGATGATTTCTAAGCAACCATGATGGCTGTTATGTGGGGTAGAAATATCTACTTGAATGTAAGAAGATTCATTCAATTCTAAGTTACTGTCAACCTTTCCACTCTTCTATTTGTTCTACTTGGATGCGCAACTAAAGGTTAATCACCACTTTCTGTTGTCCAACTTCTATGGATTAATCTTATCATGGATACTTTTGCCGCAATCGCTCTTGGATCTGAAAGACCACACCCCTCTGTTATTAAGAGTGGACCAGTTAAAGGTGGAGATGACCTAATTACTGGTACTATGCTAAAGCAAATTTATGGAATGAGTATCTATATTTTCATTATGTCAACCATACTTTACTTCTTTGTTGATGATATGTGGGATATTGGCTATGAAAATTCCAGCACTATGTACAACTCTGATGGTATTCCCACAAATAAGGCTCGTGTTTACACTATGATTTTCAACTCATTCGTCTGGATGCACATCTTCAATGAGTTCAACTGCAGAAAGGTTGGTACCACCCAATACAACGTATTTAAAGGTCTCATTTAAAATTGGGTCTTCCTTATTGTCATGGCTGTTATTATTCTCCTCCAATTATTCTTTGTTTAATACTGTGGTAGCTTGACAAGCACAACCTCTCTTACTGGCTAAGAACACGCCTTCTGTATCCTGATCGGCTCAACTACTTTACTCGTTAGTTTATTGTTAAAGCTTCTTCCTAATAGGCTCACTAGCAAAATTCCAAACTTGGTCAACGAAAACTAATCAGTCAACGACGATAAGTTCATGGCTGCTTTCAATAAGCAAGCTAATGCCAAGGTAACAAAAAGAGAATGAAATAAAATATTTAGTTATTTGTTAAATCACAACTTCTCCTAACTAATTCTCTACATTTCAATTTACTCCAATAATTAACTTCAATTTAAAAGATCCTCGGGGTTTTGGGGTTTTGGGGTTTTGGGGAGATCGGAAGAGCACACGTCTGA